TTTCCTGAAAGACAGAGATATGAAGACTGAGTTTAAACTGACATCAAAAATGTCACCAGCCTGCTTTTTACCCACCAAGCTCCCCTAAACCTGCTTAGACCTTCTTTGGAAAGGGAAAAAGGCACAAGTGGCTGCAATCTAATTGTAACTCAGCCTGAAGCAGGGTTTGTTCACTAGTAGGTTAGGTCTGTTCCAAGTGATTTGGTTTCCAAGAGAACTAGAATGCTTTGAATTAAAACTGGAACTGACTTAAAAGTCTGAGTTAAAACATATACGTTGGGCTCCACACTTCAAGATACATGCACACCAGTGGATGTCATGTTCTAGGTTCTCACCACAGGGGACAAAGAGTTGCAGAGCAGCAGCATCCTCAGTCCCAGAAGGCAGATGTAGGAGCTAAGACCTTCCCCATTTGCAGAAGAATTTTAAGAGACCATAAGGGCAGGTGAGTAAGGATGGACACAACTTGCAATGGTACAGTGCACTTAGATGACCTGAAAGTCAAGAAGTACAATGGCAAATGCATGCAAACACAGCTTTCTCCATATGTCATCTCTCCAGTGGAGGCCTCACTCCCTAAACTGTAATGGAAATGCATATGTAAATTTATATCATGTAAATATGCATATGTAAATATGCATCATGATTTATTATGGAGCATAATCTCTGCACTTTTGGTTGGAATAAAACCATTGTTGAGCAATAATCTGTACATTGGATTTCTACTGATTTTGCAAAGTGGTCTGCCACACAACTTTGCTTACCAGTGTCAGCACTGTCACACAACAGAGTAATTATGAAAAGCATAGTTAAGGTAAGCATTACTAGTTGTTCTTAATACACAAGCACCATTCCATGGATGCATTGGCATGGATGCCAATCCTCGGAGTTTTTGATTCAATGCTTCAACACTCTGCACTCTGTTCTGCAGCATGAAGAACAAAGTACAAGGTAAAACCCCGCCCTGGCATTATTATAACACATTCTCCTGATTTATATTCCTTTAATAGAGCCATGCTTCATAAAAAAGAGGGACATAGAGATAGTGGATCACACCTCACCCAAGAGATATAATCTCCTATATATATGCACCTGTAATTCTCTGATATTTTTGGTGATAAAATGTTTTTTTGATAATTGCAGCAAAACTGTATCTGGCAAAATCATCTGAGAGCATAAGTAAAAATATGAAGTCTCTTTTAAGAGCACTTGGAGCTCAGAATCCCTGGGTTGATAGCATCTGAGGGCCCCACACTGAAGAAATCACTCCACGCACCAGGGTTTCTAAACCACCAAAATATATCACAGGTTCAAGGATATGCATTGAATTTTAATGGTGGAATCTTAGCTAAGGATTGACAGGACTCTTCCAGTCAAATAGGCTGCCTAAAACTTTGACTGTTCACATCACATTTTCAGCTCTTGTGCACCCCAGCAATCCTGACAATGTTGGTTAAAATACTACTTATTTCATATTTACAAGGGAAGACTGCGGGATCAGAATCTGCCTCAGTGGTGTGTTTTCACTGGACTACATTTTCTGTTCAGGCAAAACAAGTGTAAATAGCTGCAGGATTAATTCAATTTCTAAAGGAACATGGCAGACTTCTGCTTTCCACTTTCCTTAGAGGTAGAAGTGCTAGATTTTGTTACACAGGCTCAAGCCACTGGTTTTGCAAGTTCACCCTCTTGCTTTCATCAATATCTAAAATCTCAAAAGGCAGAAAACCCCGACCAACCTCATAATACATTTAGCTAATTGCAGGGTGATGCATATTGTGCTCTCCTCTGCTTGGGACTTTCCACTAGCTGCTCTACCTGCAAGGATACTTCTGTGACCTATATTTTATGAAGCAAGAGATAAAGCAAGCCTGTCTATAAATTTCTTAGTCAGTCATTAAACTGTACGTATCTTCTTAAAAATCTCTCTGCACCAACTGACTCAATAGTTTCAAGCAGCACTGAATATGATTTGCTGATTCAATGCTGCATCTGGAAGTATTTATTGTTGTTGTTTTTAAATTCATTTCCCAAAATAGATACCACAGATCTAGTCTCCAGCCAAAATCAAGAGATATAGATAAATTGAAATCAACGGAGCTGAGCCATTATATTGCCAGCCAGAAATACAGCTCTTCCTGAGAGCATTCTTTGCTGCCACTAATAGTATTTTTTGCAATTGCCTCAAAGGTTAGCTTGTTAATAGGCTTCTACAGCAAAAATTTGGGAGACCAAAATTGGGAGACCAGAAATTTTTACATTGAAAGGACTATCAATCAGGGTCATAGCTGAGGCAAGTCTTTCCCGTGCACACCCAAGTACTTAATATGCAGCCAGAGCTATTTGTTTGCTATACTGATAAAATGATTTTCAACTGTTACAGCACAGCTCCAAGATGTATTTATTCCTTGTAGTCAGAATTCTTTTGCTGACAAATTAAAACTGTTAAAGACCAATTTTATTTTAAGATTTCTTTTATTAGGTTTATAATATATTTATTTGCCCTCTTATTTGGACCTTTCACTTGTTTTTATACAGCTGTTTCTCTGCCAGCTTCAGTATTGATACTGTCTTTTGTGTTAATGTCAGGAAAACTAAAATGAGGCCGTTTCTCTCTAAATTAGATTGCAGCTTTTGCTACATCATTGGCTTATTACGACACTTTGATTTATATCTAACTAGCAAACTAACAAATAAGTCAAGTTACTAACTAGAGCCGCTTTGTTAAGCGCTTGTCTGGCATTGTCTAGATGGGATCAGGTACCAATGTAGGCGTATAAGCCAAGCCTGACATATCCCTTTCAAAGGCATACGTGATTAATGGGGCATTTCATTGCTGCAAGTGAACTCAGGCTTGTTCCACCCCTGAATACAAGTATTGAGAAGTGCCATGACTTACAGCGATACTCTTTCGCCAGTTATCTTTCTTAGGTATAAATTTCCCTGCTATTCTGCACAATGCTGGTGTGCACTTATCAGATGCACATGTGGAAATTGAGCTGTATGGTCGCTGTTGCTAGCAGCCATTATCTTACTTAACCGAGCACACACACACAAGGGAGAGATGCACCACTTTTTCACTGGCATCTGCAGGGATCACGGGTCTTCCCCAGAGCATTGCTGGATAAATTACCCCACATGGAGGATGCGCTAGGATCTGTTCAAGCCCAAACCTGCCAAAGGTAACCGGTACATTCACTGTGGGACACCTCAGCATGCAGAGATGGAACATATAGTGCCACCAGCTCAGGGAAAGTCATCCCCAGCTGCAGCCAGAAGATGGTTTGGCTTTACGGAGGGCACATGAGCACAAGAAAATCCCTCTTGTACCAGAAGAGGAGGAGTGCTCATAGGACAAACTTCACCAGGTCATCTATCTGTGCCTTGGATTTTCACATTTTAAGGAAAAAGCTTCTTCTTGATTAACCAGGAGAAAATTCACCAAACTGTGATGTATTTTTGTTTTGTTATGGATTTTGTTAGTTAGCTGGGGCTCTTAGCATGATCCTGCAGCCCTGGAAGGCACCTGGGCCCAGGGCACCCATGGTGGCTTCCAGGGCAGCTGCCACATAACACCCTCAGCCACTGGGATCAGCTACGTTAGGTGTGTTGGGGGTTTAGCCCCATGCAGGCACTTGCCCACTCCACTGGAGGGAATGGGAAGAGTAAAATTGAGAAAATTCATGGGCTGAGATAAAGACAGTTTAGTAGGTGAAGCAAAAGCCATGCATGTGAGAAAAGCAAAACAAGGGATTTGTTCACTGCTTCCCATGGGCAGGCAGGTGTTCAGCCGTCCCCAGGAAAGCAGGGGCACATCACACATAACAGTGACTTGAGAAGGCAAATGCCGTCAGTCCAAACATCCTCCTCTTTCTCCTTCCCCCCCCCCCAGCTTTATATGATTCCATATGGTTTGGAATATCCCTTTAGTCTGTCGGGGTCATCCATCTTGGCTGTGTCACCTCCCAGCTCCTCACACACCCCCACCCCCTCTCTGGTGGGATGGGGTGAGAGGCTGAAAAGGCCTTGACTTTGTGTAAATGCTGCTTGGCGGTAACGAAAACATCGTTGTGTTATCAGCACTGTTTCCAGCACAAATCCAAAACATAGGTCTGTGCCAGCTTTTGTGAAGAAGATTACTTACCTTGGCCAAAACCAGCACAGTGAGATGGCCCAGGAAGGACAAGAGGAGGGCCAATGCCACCACTGCCAGTTGTACAGTGCAGGGCCCTCCCAGGAACGCATCTATGGGGCAGGGGTTTTTCAAGAAAAACTCAATACCCCAAAAGAGCTTGTTAGGTGCATTTCCATACAGGGAGCAGCTCGAGATGGGCACCAAGCACAGCCATGTCACAGACCAGGAGTGTGGTGGGACAGCCAAGGAGCAGCATGGTCCCTTCAGCAGCTTTCACAGTGATGCTGCTCATCCATCTGCTTTCAGGGGGATACAGAGAAGGGATTTGTAATAGTGGGTGCCACAAAAACATGGACTGTGACCTACAAAGAAGGGAAGGCACCTTAGATTTCTGGTGTGATTTGAAAGAACTAAACCCTGAAGGTATTTATGCTGCAAGGGCGCTGCTGTACTCAGCTCCCTGAATAGGGCTACCTAGGGCACCAAGGGACATCTCTGGATATCACCCAGCACATGCAGGAAGGAGGGTAGTGGAGATAGCTTCTCAAGTATCCCAAAGTCAGAGCAGCTCCTCCTCCCAGGAGAAAATAGGGAGGGAGAATCCTTTCCCTCCTTATCACCTTTCCAAGAAAACAGGTATGTTAGATTTGCCTGATCTTACCCACCTGCTTCCTGTTGAGAGGAACAGATGAAAACTGCACTTCCATATATTCTGCTGCTATATCCACACACCTCTGGCATCTTAATTTTTTTCCTCACCTGACCTTCTTCACTTTTTCATTTTTTTACTTTTATTCACTGAAGACCTTTTGGCTCTCCATCCAAAGACCAGAGGAGAAAAGCAAGATAAAGGCAGAAGGAGTGCTGTACTTGAAGATGGGTCACACATAGGATTTTTATTGCTGCTAATACTCCAAGAGAAGAAAAGATACCTGGCAAGAGACCATGGCACAGTGCTGAGAAATGTCATCATGTAACAGTAATCAGAGTCCAGGGTCCTGAAGGAGATACACTTGGAAGGGAACACATGCCGTTTCCTGTTGCAAGATTGACAACTATTTGTACTTCCAAGGCAGTACAAGGAGACAGTAAATTTCATTGCTGTATTAGTATCTTCTGTATATGCAGGCCTGCTTAATAAACAAAATCTGTTTAACCCAACAGACAGCTAAACACCATATAGCTGTTCATTTACTGCCAGCACAGTGGGGTGAGGAAGAGAATAGAAATAAAAGGTAAAACTTGTGGGCTAAGATAAAGGCAGCTTAAAGAAACGGAAAAGGAAGGGAATATAGTATAATGATAAAAGTGTATACAGTAAAAGTGATGGACAATTACTCACCATCAACTGACTGCTGCCCAGCCAGTCCTCTCACCATCTCCCTCCAGCTTTTTTGTTCAGCATGATGCTGTATGATATGGGATACACCTACAGCCAGTTTGGGGCAGTTGTCTCAGCAGCATCTCCTCCCATCTTCTTGCATACCCCAGCCTCCTCTCTGGCAGGGCAGAGAAGCTGAAAAATCCTTGACTTAGTATAAGCACTGCTCAGCAACAACTAAAACATCAGTGTGTTATCAACATTATTCTCACCCTAAATCCCAAACACAGCATTATGCCAGCTACTATGAAGAAAATTAACTACTACTCCATCAAAAACCAGGACAATAATAGTAAATGTTAAATGGCAATAATAGTAATCATTACAAATACTAAATGTTAAGTGTAATTTCTCACCTTTTGGAAGCTGAAATACTTTTTGTCCAAATAGCCCTGGAAACAGCTTTGATAGAACCTGCAGCAAAAAGCTGGAGGTGGGAGGGAGCTCTTCCCTGTACTCTTGGAAGTAGTCTTGCCTTCATTTTCACGGCTGATATACCTCTGTCCATCACAGAAACCACAGGAAAGGCTCTGAAGAGACAAAGGACAAATCTCAGCCGGTACAGGTCTACAAAGCAATGCCAGGCACAGCCCAGGGAACAGGGAAAGACTGATGATTTGCAACAGCAACTGCAGCCTGAGCCTGCATGCAGAGTCAGCTTTGGGTGTCTGGGTTATGTTAGTGGAGTTTTGGGTGGAGAGGTGGGATGTTTGAGCTCTTCTTTTTTTTCTCTTGGCAGAGCCTGATGCTGCACATGGGAGGTAAAGCCCTGTCTGCATTCAGAGCAGCCTCTCTCAGGTGCACCTGAAACCCGTGGACATGGTCTGATCAGCCTTTGCAGTGTTTTTGAGGTGGCTTTAAGTTTACAACACAAATAACTGTGGCTGCTATAAGGCCAGAGATCTGCATCTCTAGAGCAGTGGATGCCCAGGGCCAGATTTGGGCCCTGCTGCCATTTAATCCTCTTTCTTTTGGCCTTCAGACCTTGCTAATGCAGCATCTCCTTCCCTGTTGCTTTTCACATTGCTCAAGGAGGTGAACTTTTCCCTGCCACCCTGGAAGCAGATTTCAAGTGAATTTGTCTGCATTCCCTGATCCACCAGTTTCTTTGCTTTTTGAGATCTCCCTGAGCAACTTCCCAGTCCTCTGGACCGTGTCCCACAGTGTTAGGCAGGACCAGGCTTGTCCTGGTTCAAGGCTTCCTTCTGTGTTTGGACGGACTGGTCTCGTGGGGAGCATAGAGCAGAAAGTCACTGGGATTCCAGTGCTGCCCAGAGTCGTGCAGCCCTGCAACACACTTACAGTATCAGAACAAGAGGAATCACCCATAACCTGAGATAGAAGGTGTGAGGATGAAGTATGAAGTGCAGGAGGACGGGGACAATGTGTTTGAGACTGGGCTGAACACCACATTCCCCCAGGGTCACAACCAACAAGTCAGCTGTGGAGCATCAACACCTCACACGAGTGACAGGGATGAGAAAGAAGGGACCGAGGGGGGACCGAGGGACAGCACCTGCCGCCCCTGCTCTCTGGTGCCGTTGTCCGCCCCAGCGTGCATCGGCAGGAGAGGCAGTCTTCCCTTCCTCCCCAGGTGCGCAGCTCTCACCATCCCTCGGCTGCTCTAGCAGTCTCATCTCTCCGTTCCCAATAGGAGTGGGAGAGCTCGGCAGCCTCTCGGTGAAATCGGAGTTGAGAAAGGGTCCCACCTCTCTGGCCCCTCTCCGCCCCGCTGCACCGCGGCTCTGGCAGCGCTGCTGGGACGCTCGGGGGTGGCGAGCTGCTGAGGGCAGCGAGGGCGGCGGTGCCCGGGGGTCGGAACAACTCCATCGGGCAAGGGCGGGCTCCTCGCACGGCCGCCGTGCAACAAGTCGCGGTGCCGGGGAGCGGGAGCAGACCCGCCGTGCGCCTCCAGGAGCCGGCCGGCCCTGCTCCCCGCGGGCCAGCCTGCGGCTCCCGCGGCAGGACGGCTGTCCGGCGGGAAGGCTGGAGGCTCGGCCCGGCTCGGCCCGGCCCGGCTCACAGCCCCGACCCGCTCCCCGCCCAGCCCCGCCGGCTGCCAGCACAGCCGCTGCCCGGCCGGGGCAAGGGCAAGGGCAGGGGCGAATCGCAGGCGGGCTCCACCTCAGCACGGGAAAATGCAAAAGAAACGGGATCTTGATCCGTTCTTTCTGCTTTCCTTTTGTTTTCTGTTGTTGTTGTTGTTGGTTTTAGGTTTTTTTTTTGGTTTGGTTTGGGTTTTTTTTGTTGGGTTTTTTTTTTTGTTTTGTTTTGTTTTTTTTTTGCGGGGGTGCTGTGAAGAGTTGTCGCTTTTTATGACAGCGAGGGCACAAGGCGAGCGAGGAGGCGGAATCGTCTCGGCAGCCGCTGCATTTTGTTGGAAGCCGCTCGGGGGTTCATTAATATCATTAGCATTTAACCCCCTCCCTGCCCCCTCCCCTCGCCAGCGCGGGGTGACGTCACGCGGCGGCAGGAGTTGGGGGGAAAGCGAGGGAAGCTCAGTGGGCAAGGGGCGTCCCTCTCCCCTCCCCGCCGCTGCCTGTCACAGCCTCTCTGCTGATATTATAGGGGCCGAAGCCTGGAGCTCAAAGCGCGAAGTCAGCCAGTGTAATGAACTTCTGGAAACCTTTCCCTTTTTATACCATTCAGTTTCTGAGAGGCAGAGACTGCCTCCTCTGACGCCTTTTCCCCCCTTCCATTATTTTTCCAGGCTCTGATCTCCCTGCTTGCTGCACCGAGGCGCTCGGCGCAGAGCCCCGCTCCCTATCCTACCTTCTCCTTCCCCTCATTGTTGTCCTGGCTGCTGTGGCTCTCGCTTGCCTTCCAGGAGCGCGGTGGCGAGCACAGTCGCACCCCCAGCACCCTCCCAGGGTCCCGAGAGCATCTACTCGCAGAGGGGCAGCCAGCGGCCGCCGACTTTGGGTCACTTCGTTGGGTTTTTTTTCTTTTTTCCTGTTTTTTTTTTCTTTTTTTTTTCCATTTTGCTCCACTTTTCTTCCCCCCACCCCCTTTCCGCGTCCCCGCAGCGTGTCCCCTTCCCTCGGGAGGACATCGCTGGGGGAGCGGGGCTGCGGCGAGGATGTGCCGGCCCCCGCGGCGGAGCCAGCAGTGAGCACCCAAGGGAGGCACCTGCCCCGCGGAGCAGGGGGGCCCCCGAGGGGGCCGCACCGCCTCGCCCCGGCGCCGACACTTCGCCCCGAGTTTAGCGACTCACGGGGGCTTCGAGCATGAGCAAGCCGGCGGGATCAACAAGTGGGTAATAACGCGGTGGAGGCTTCGAGCAGCCTTTCCGAGGCCGGCTGCAGCCTGGCCTGGGGGGCGGGAGGTGGAGGGGAGGGAGAGGAAGGGGAGGGGGGGTTGTGGCTTGGGTTTGCACCCCCCCACACCCCGCGCCCAATTGAAAAAGAAGTGTATATTTGCAACCGGAGTGGCAACGAATATATAGGCTCGGGGTTGCCCCGATGGAGTTTGGGCCTGAGGCTTACAAAAAGCCGTTTTCCAGCTGCATGCCCCGGTGTTCCGGGCTAGGAACCGGGGCAGAAGCCCGTGGGCAGCGAGCACCCGGGAAGGAGACTCCGCCGACGGCGGGGAGGGGGCTGGTCCCGCCGGGACGCGGCCGGTTACGTGCGGGTCTCCGGCGCAAAGGTGACGGGGGGAAGGTTTGGGTTTAAAAGGCATTTCGGCGTTCAAACGTGCTGGTTTTCTCACGGACTTTATGCAATCTTCTGCGACATAATGATTTCTTTTTAAGAGTTTGAAACTCCGGTCACTCAATTACACGGAATCGCGTAAGCAACTCAGTCGAAGGAGGATTTAAATCAATACTTTGCACACCATTCCCAGTTACAACAAATAATCCTGCAACGAGGAAAGCAGAAACAACTTAAAAGTCACATTTTCCTTAATCCTAAATCCATGCACCTCATAACTGGGGAATTTAAAGCATGACTAACCGCTCTTACAGAATGGCTCAATTCGTATAATCCCAATGGGACTTTCGGAGTTTGTAATATGGATGGAGTCAGTAACAAAGGGGGAAAAAATACCCAATCCAATTTAATGTCTGACAAGTGATGGATCGGACAGCTATTTCCTCTGCGCTCCGACAGGCTCCCGGGGTTGCGGCGTGGCGGCCAAGGGAGGCAAATCTCCCTCCCGCCGTGGTACCTGCCACCGGCCGCCCCCCGCCAGCCCCGCGGCCTTCTCCTCGCCGCTGCCCTCCATTATTTTGACCCGAGTCCGCCCTTTGTCCGCGGGGGCCGGGAAGCCGGGGAGGAGGGAGGGGGCGCGGCGGCGGGGCCGGGGGGCAGCCGGGGGCCGTGGCGCGGAGGGCGCGCGTGGAGGAGGCGGCGGCGCGGAGCCCCCGGCGCTGCGGCCGAGCTGCCGCCGCTTCGGCTCTCTGGTTTGTCCTCTTCCCCCGCGGAGCTGAGCGCGGCATCCTTTTGCCCCAGCCCCGCGAGGAAGGAAATAAAATTGCAGTCGAG